CCAACGTACGAACGCTTGTCGTAGTTCGTTTTTTATTATCCACGAACAAAATCAGACACCTGAATTGATATCTTACCTGAAAAGACAAAACAAATGGGGAAAAAAATCATTAAAATTAATTACAATTATGACGTTGAAAAATATAATTGAATTCGCGTAAGTAAATCAAAAGTAAATAATTGCAAATAATTTCATCCTTCGTACTTATTGGCGGGGGGAGGAGGGGGGAAATAAAAAAAAAAAAAAAAAAAGAAAAATAAAATAAAAATCCATTCATAATATCGCAACCCAATTTCTCTCGAAGTACTCGAGATATCGCAAATAAATCGCACTCCTCTTTACTTCGAAAAGCACTTTCTTCTTATATAAATAGAGCAAATCTTAAGATAGCTTCCGTCTCTGTGAAAGTAAATGAAACAACGCGAGAGAGCGAGCGAGAGAAAGAAAGAAAAAAGGAGAAACAGCGTATGTGTGAGAGAGAGACAGAGAGAGAAAGAGAAAGAGAGAGAGAGAGAAGTAGTATTGGTATATGTGTATGTATGTAGTTACGAACTTACGCAGTACCTAGAAAGAAAATATTGATAAATCGAAAGAACGAAAAATCATTGTGTGTATGTGTATGTGTATACGTGTGCGTGTATGTACTACGATTTGGTGGCTTGCCGAGATCCTGTAATTTACTAAAATCCTAGCGTTCTGTCTTTTACAATCCAAGATTAGTTTCGGACAGTTGGATCTTATCCTACCATATATATATATATATATATATATATATATACACATACAGTAAAGTATGTACTTCTAGAATAACATGACGATAAAATTGAAAATTAACATCTTCGAAAATTTCTATATATTACATTCTTCTTAATTTATATATAATATAATACAATTTAATTTTATAATAATATATCCTTATAAAATATATTGGCTAAAATCTATAATTGTTAGATTTTTAAATAATAAAAGCGACGACGAAATAAGGACGAAAAATAAAAACGTAATCTATAGTATGGTGGAATATCGATCCTGGCACAAATTATTATACTCTCCCGCGGGAAACATCGCTCCACCAATCGATTACTCATTTTCGAGACGATCCTTTGGGTAGAACGAACAAACCTGCGATCGTGATAATTCATATTCTCCTATACACATAATCGTACGCCCACACACACACACACACACACACACACACACACACGTATGACAGATAGTATTCCATATAAGAAAAACTCGAGACAAATAAGCCGCGACTAGAGTTTCGTGCACTTGAAATGGATTAGAAAAGTGGATCGAATAGGAGAGCAACGCGGATGCGAGAAGTCTTTATGTGCCGTGCTATACGTGTTAGATGGTAGTTATTTAATACAATAATTTCTTTCTCTTACGGATGACTCACATAATAGCACGAAATTATGGCGTTTAGATACGCGTGCGTACGTACGTACGTATATAGGTATATACATAGGGAGAAAAAGAGAAAAAGAAAGAGAAAGAGAGAAAGAAATAAAATGGCTATTAAAAATCTTTAGGTATACATGAAGATAAAACATTTTCACTTCCGCATCTTATCGGTAAAGAATAAGTTCTCTACTATGTATATTTTATCGAGTTATTGTTCTTTGAATCGAATAGATTCTAAGAAAACACATCTCGGCAACGCCTACGATCGATCGATAAGTAATCCACTATCATCATTTTCTATTCAATTGAAGTATAAAAAGTCAATAAATCGCTAACAATAAGAAAATGGTATCGTTGGTAAATCGTTGTCTGTTATACACACACACACACACATACATATTTTTATAATATAATATATATATATATATATATATATATATATTAACTTGTTATTTAGGTTCGTCGTATCGTAAAAGAAACGACAGAATGACGTTTAACGTTATTAAATTAATTAAAAGGAGAGATGGGCGCGATCTGATGGAAAAGGCAAAGACAATGAATGACTTCGCATTTAGAATACGAGTTGGAGAGTTTACTACTTTCGGTTAAAGATCCATTACAAACGGCCAAGGCCATTATTTGTTTTCTCGTTCACCTACATGCCGTACGTTTACTTTATCCTACGTATGCTCCGACGTATCAAAGTTAACTTGGCCAGAGAAATTGAACATTCTTCGTTCGGTCAGTATGTCTCGTTCGTTACGCGTGAAGTTTTCTTGGGCGATAGAAATTAAAAAAAAAAAAAAAAAGGAGAAAGAAAAGAAAAGAAAGAGAGAGAGAAAGAGAGAGAAAGAGAGTGACAGAGAGGAAGAAAAAAAAGGGAAAAAAGAAAAGAAATAGTTGGATACTTCGTCGCTAATTTCGCGGAGGAGCGAATCTTCTCCGTCTATAGAAAAGCTCGTGCCAAGTTTCTGCAAGCAAGCTGTGCGGAAGCATTCCGTCGCGGTCGCCTCGAAGTCGAGACAGTCCCTTCTTTTTTTTTTTCTTTGAGAGAGAGAGAGAGAGAGAGAGAGAGAGAGAGAGAGAGAGAGAGAGAGAGAGAGAAATGGAAGGAATGGGCGCGAACGAACGATTTTACGAAAGAAAAAGAAAAAGAAAAAGAAAAAAAAAAAAGCGACGCAAGAAGAAAGGATACGTGATAAATTGCGTAAGACCAAACATAGAGATAGGTATGTAACTACGTATCGTACATACGTACGTACGTATGTACGTACATACATATGTACGCATCATCGTGGAATTTATGTCGAGTTTACGCTCGATAAAGCGATTCACTTCGATTCGTTCATGTTACCCGCAATAAGAATAAATTCTCAAGAAAACTTAACTTTCCTTTATCCTGTAACAGCTGGGGTTATATAAAAAAGAAAAAAAAAAAAAAAAAAAAAAAGGAGAGAGAGAAGGAAAAAAGAAAAGAAAAAGAGAAAAGAAAAGTAAGTAAATAAAGAATAAGAAGGAAGAAAAAGAAAAGGAGAGAACAAAATGTCGGACAAGAAAGCTTTTAGCAAAGTTCTCACCCAAAAGTCGCGGGCTACTATACAAATTGATTCGAAAGATGCATCGCGGTGCATCATACACCATTGCCGAATAATAATCGAACCACGCGGATTGGTTTGCCTCTTCGGTATGTATCGTAAGCCAAGGATCTCCGTTAAAATAGCGCTACGGCACGTATTGGAAACCCCTTCACGTACCCTTTCACATACGCTTAAGCATGCTTCACGATACTTGGGAGTGACACTAGCGTTGGAGTGGAAGGTCAACCGGCGATTGGAACTGGGACACCGACATCGATGAGGGAGGGGGAGGGGGCATAGAGGAGGAAGAGGGGGGCGAGACGGAGGGAACCATAGAAAAAAAAAAAAAAAAAAAAAAAAAAATTATAAACGAGTTTAAAGCGCCCGAATGACTCCTTAGAGGCAGGTTTTCGTCGTCGTAGTAGTCGTTCTTTTGAGGATCAAAAATCCATACCAGTTGCGATATTACTGCAACGGTATTTCCGTATAAGAATAAAAAAAAATACAAAATATATTTAAAAAAAAAAAAAAAAAAAAAAAAAAAAAAAAAAAAAAAAAAAAAAAAAAAAAAAAAATACAAACGAAAGAATAAAAGAAAAGAAAAGATAAGTTTACCCAACGAGTATAACACCGTTTCCTCTTATACTCGTTCCTTGTATATTTATCGAGGTATCTACTTTGAAAAGTAATTCTTATCTATATATTTGCAACGTTTAAAATATAAATAGACAGGTAGTTAGATAGGTGTATATATATATATACATACATATATGTATGTATGTGTATATGTAAACACATTCTTTGGATAATATTTTAAATTCGTTCTGGGAGTGGGTGATTTAAAGGAAAGGCAAAAAAAAAAAAAAAAAAAGAAAGAAAAAAAAAGAAATAAAAAAATGAAAGAATAAAAATTAGAAGCGCAAAAAAGAACAATTAAATGAGTCGAGAAATATATATATATATATATATATATATATATATATATATATATATATATAGATATATATATAATATTGTTCTGTTTCCAACCAAAAGATAATACTTTCGTTAAAAGTATCGCGACCGCACGTAAACAATTAATACTTTAATCGTCGACGTCCATACGAACGACGATGCGCATCGTTTATCAGTAAAGCCCCTAAAGCTATAATTTGTTCTTCGTTTTCCGATGAGACTGATTAAAAGTTGTCATTCTTATTGGATTAAAAAAAAAAAATATTTTCTTTTTCTTTCTTTCTTTCCTTTTCGTTTGTTTTTCTTTTGCTTTTTCTATACCGCACCGCCCCGACTCCACCCCATCTCTCCTTAATGTTTCTTTCCTTTTCATTCAAGCGATCTATTATTTCTACTTTTTCTCGCGTTTATTTTTGCGTCAACATCGATCCGTATTATTCGTAAAATTTCGAAAAGCCAACGAAGGCCTCTTCTCGGTATGATCGAACAAAATTATCCCGGTGATTTTCGTGCTAGTTGATTTGCCAGTATTTAATCGCTTCTCCGACGCCCTTAAGCGGGATTATATACTGATCTACTATGTTTCCTTATAACTTCACCCTACCGTTCATAATCAATTTTCACTTTGCGTCTCGGTTGCCGTCCGAACGAAATTATATACCTTCGCTATTATACGCTTTAAATCCATTCGAATCATAATGCGTGTAACTAATCCGAGTATACACCTCGAAACCAAATTCCTTTTCAAATAACACGCGCATGCGCCTATAGATGTTTGTTGTGTCTATATGTCTGTGCGTATCATATACACATGTGTATATAAATAGATATATATATATATATATATATATATATATATATATACAATTTCTATACTATCATAACAACAACAACAACAAACATATATTAGCTAATCGAATTTCATTGAATGTACGTATAACAAAGGAATATTACAACTTACGTTAACAATGTAGAATATTAATCAAAATGTAGATATTTAGGACGATTTACAATTTCCCTTCCAAGTCCAACTAGACGGTTGATTCTGTTTCTCCATCCGGTGCAAACGATATTTCATCTCAACATCAAGAGACATTTCTTGCGCGTAACTCATAGAAGAGAGAAAGAGAAAGAGAAA